GTGAGTCTTCTCACTATACTTTACCTTGAGTAGGTAAATAGAGTTATGTGATACGGTGTTATATATATATTGTTTGTTGCACTGCATTCTTCTATGTGATTTATGTTGTGCATGTTTGCAGAGTTAGAACCTGAGGGTTCACAGAGTTTGGGTGCACGGACCCACAGAGTTATAGCCTCGAGTGGCTAATATGTGTTATATGTGGTATTTTGGGGAACTCACTAAGCTTTGTGCTTACAGTGTTTGTGTTATGTTTTTCAGGTACTAGTAAGGATCGCGGGAAGGTGTCGGCTTGATCAGTACACACACGGGATTTTTATGCTATGAGATCTTGGGATTTTATATGTTATAAATTGAGTTTCAAACAATGATGTTTTTATGATTTACAAATGAATTATGTCTTTATAAATGCGAAAAATTGTTTTGGAAACTTACGGTGTTACAGTAACCGAACTATGCCCAGTGTACCGAGTATGCCCAACGTACTCCGAGATTACGCCCAGTGTAATCCTTCTTCCAGCACCCTATAAATAGATTTTGAGGGTTGTCGAGTTTTGGTGCTCCATTCTTCCCTTTCTCTCTCGTTTTTCGTGCAAGAAATATCCTAAAGCCCCAGTATCATTTCCGAGACCCGAAGCAAGTCCCGAAGCCCCGAAGATCCCGAGAAGTGAAATTCCCGAGCCGAAGCTCTGCCCGCGAGAAGCTGTTTTTTTGTGAAGATCTTCCAGATCTACCGAAGAATACTATTTTTACAAGCCGTAGTGTTGTGCGATCATCTTTTGATCAAGTGAGTGTATAGTTACTTTCTTCTAACACATAAATATAAAGTATTAGCTATGAAATACGTGCTATGTGTTATATATTATTTGTCTATTTGAGATGGGCTTGGAATTGATGTTTTTATACGGGTGTTAAATGATTTAAATTGTGTTTGTATTTATATCTACAAAAATGTTGGGTAGAACATGGGTAGATGGAATAGTTGGTGACGATGCTACTTCGTGCCTATTGAGTAAAGCCTTGGTGACGATGTGAATTCGTGCCTAATCTGTAAGCCTTGGTGACAATGTTACTCCGTGCCTATTAAGTAAGGCCTTGGTGATGATGTAACTTCGTTCCTATTGAGTAAGCCTTGGCGACGATGCGACTTCGTTCCTATTGAGTAAGCCTTGGTGACGATGCGACTTTGTGCCTATTTGATAAACCTTGGTGACGATGCGACTTCGTGCCTATTTGATAAACCTTGGTGACGATGCGAGTTCGTGCCTATTTGATAAACCTTGGTGACGATGTGACTTAGTGCCTATTGTGTAAACCCTGGTGACTATGAGACGTAGTGCTTATTGTATAAACCCTGGTGACTATGTGACGTAGTGCTTGTTGTATAAACCGTGGTAGCAATGGACTTTGTGTCAATTCCTTAGGTCAATCCTTAGGAACGAATGAAGGAAGGATAGTCGATTCTTAGGGTAAAACCTTAAGAAAGAAAGAAGATAATGGGGATGGGTAATTGGGTTGATTGTTTGATGATTGAATATAATAATTATATTATTGTGGGTTGAAAACACTATATGCTCACTAGGCTCCCAAGTCGGACCCACTCAGTTTTCTTTGTATTAAAGGTATCAATACGAAGACATATTTCACTAAGAGATTAAAGGAGATGTAAATCATTAGTGTAAATAAATGTAAGTTCTATTTATGCTTATGTGTCTGTATCGGAACATGACATCCTGAGATTTTTTTTATTTAATGAAAATTCATTTCTTTAAAGAAATGCTTTGATAAATTCTTATCACATTTTGTTTTAGGAACAAATTCCGCAACTGTTTTCTTTAAAAGATTACTCTGATTTATGAAACAAAGCATAAAAAAATCGGTCTTTTCTGGCCGTGAAAATAGGGATGTCACAATCAAACCCTAATCCGTGTGTGTGCTCCATCCTTGTGTGTTTTAAGCTTTGGAAGGTGGATCTTTAGTGAGAAGAGCTTGGAGAGCAAGTGGCTAGAAGCAAGGAACATGTGGGGATCTGATATCTACCTCAGTTAGCATCTTTTGGAAGGTATCAATTTGTTACCCTGACCTCATTTCCTTCTAGATCTCATTTGGTTAAAGATTAGGTATTTTTTAGCATATTAAGAAGATATTCTTGGGCATGAGCTAAGATTTGAAGTTGTAACTCCACACCTGAAGTCTCCTTGGTCTATAAGTCCATAATGCTTTCAGCTTTAGAAAGTATAAACCTCTCCTTGAGTGTAAAACTCCATTACAAGTTTGGTTTTGACATTATAAGACTTTAGAGCATTGCATGCACGTAAACTTTTCAGCTTTATGTGATAAACATGCCTTGGGAAGTTGGATCTGTAGTTTGGAACCTTAAAATGGATTAAAAAGCATCTGAATAGATAATTGACTGAAGGGACTCGGCGAGTTGCATGGCTAACTCTACGAGCCCGATGAAGATTGTCGTGCAAGGACTTTTGCATGGACCCGGTGAGTCAACTTGGGTTTTCCTGACTTTTGGACACGCTTGAACTCGGCGAGTTGCAGGAAACTCGATGAGTCGGGTCAACATGGACTGTTGACCTTGACCGTTGACTTTGACTTTGACCAAGGGTTGGCTAGTTAACTTCTGGGGCATTTTGGGAAAACTCGAAACTTATTAATATGCTTCTATGGTGAATATAGGTGGTGAAGTTTGTGGCGGTGATCCGAGAGATTGAGCTTATCATTTCAATTCGACAATTGAGAGGTGAATTATACTCACTATACTAAGGGGGGTCTAAGGCACCAAGGCCGACCCATTGGATATGATATCCTAGCATAGTGTAGTATGTTGAGTATGAGTTAGTGTTGCATGTTAGTTGCTATGCCAATTAGGTAGATATGTAGGACTACCCGTAGTATTATGTGATTATCTGTATGTGCATTAGTTGTGTTATATATGTCGACATATTATATGGGATGGGTTGAGGTGATACTGCTCCGTGCGGTAACTAACAAACCCGGGAGCATTCCAGATACGGGCTGAGGGAGACTCGTACTGTGGGCTCTATGGCAATCCAGATGTGAGCTGTGGGCCTGGAAGGCAATCCATACTCACACTGTGGGCCCAGGGGTAATCCAGTCTGTAAAGTTGTGGACCAGCACATGCTGTTATTTGTATATGTATTATGTGCAGTGTATCGATATTTTGGGGGGAACTCACTAAGCTTTCGGGCTTACAGTTTCAGTTTATTGTTTCAGGTACATTAGGGGATCGTGGCAAGGCAAATGCGTGATCGTACAACTTCTCATGTTTTGTTTATGTTTTTGGGAAAACTATGATATTATACATTTTGAAAACAAGTTTGTAATGATTTAATGGTTTTGAAATGTTTTTAAAAGTTCAAATTTGGCATGATTTTATGGGTGTTACATCAAAAGGCTAAAACACCCAAAACTAGTCTTAGGAAGAGGTTTAGGGCATGGAGAAAGGCCAAGACTAGATAAAGTCGATGACTTTATGACTATGGGGGCCTAGAGGAGTCCAAATATGAAGTTACAACTTCAAATCATGCTCAACTTCCAAAAATGGATCCAAAGTGGGCTAAAAAGACCCTAAACTCTTTCATGGAGAGATCTATCAAGAAAATGATCAAGGTAACAACTTTTTACCTTCAAAAGGTTGCTACAACTGAGTAGATGTCGGATCTATAAGCTCCTTGTCGTTCCAAGCTCCTAAATCTTCAAGTTCTTCCGAGAAATGCACCAAACACACACTCTTTAGCCTTGTACATACTCAAAATGGAAGGTTAGCTCGTTTAGGGTTTTCTCTGGACGATAGGGTGGAGAGGGAGGTTGGAGAGAGGACTTATGGTCCTTTAAATAGGATGCAAACCTTAAAGATCAAAGTATTCATGCACAACCTCAATTCGTCGAGTTAGGGTCCTCCAACTCGCTGAGTAGGTTCCAACAACCACGCGACCTGATCAGTTTCTACACGACGATTTAGGGCCTCCAACTCGTCGAGTAGGTCTTAAATGATGTATAAAAATTCTTAAAATTCATACCTGGGAGTCGGGATGTTACAAACTCACTAAGCTTTATGCTTATAGTTTTCAATTTATGATTGAGTTACTTCGGTTTTCAAATGGAAGAGCTCTTGATGATTGCAGAGCACACACCACATGATTCCGCACTCTGTGAATTAATCTGATTTATCTAAATTACATTGGTTTTATGAAAATGATATGTATTAGCAATATATTAATCTAAAAATGGAAAATTTTATGTTATTATTTTTGGAACGTTAAAAATACCCGAATCGAACCAAACTCGTATTGGTTAATCGGTCCGGTTTTCGGTTCATACAATTACCCTTATTCGGTTTTCGGGTCGGTTCGGTCCGGTTCCGAACCCAAAAACATCTAGGGATGTCAACGAGGGCAAACAGGACGGGGATTGCATCCCCCGCCCTCGCCCCCAAAAATTTCCCGTTCCCCCGCCCCGCGAAATCTCCATCCTTTCCACCCCGCCCCCGAATTCCCCTTCTGACCCCCGCCCCTATTCCCCTACCCTGAATGATTTTGGGCAAATATAAGTTTTTGTTTGGGCTAAAAGAAACTATTTTTTGGGTAACAAATAGATATTTATAACATAATTTTACATGTTACAAACAACTTAAAAACACGTTTTTTGTTGAATTTTTGTATGTAAAATTCATTTTATTGTTTATTATATTTATATAATTAATATATGTCAATTTATATAATTTATTAACGGGTCCCCACGGGGGTTTCAGGATGGGACTACTAACCCCCGCCCCCGCCCCCGAAATTAAAACGGAGGTTAACCTTGCCCCCGCCCTCGCCCATGTCCCCAATTTTTTTCAACAAATCCCCCCATACAGGACGGAGCCCTCACGGGATCAGTGTCCCACGAGACTTTTTGACATCCCTAATAACATCCGTACCCTTATGTAGTAAAAGAATAAGGCCAAGGACTATTTGTGCAATTCCGTCAAAGATTAGAGAAGCTAGGGTTTCCCACCAACCATAAAAACGACTGCGCCTTTTAGTACAACTCCTGCTAGTCCAGTCCAATCATTTCCCGATCACAATGTCTGTTCTTCAGCATACTCACATAGCAGCTTCACTCTCATCGTCGACATCCTCCTTCTTCGCTCAAAATGGCTTCGATGTTCCAAGGTATCCATCTATCTCCCTGTTTTGGTAACAGAACTGAGAACTACTCGATTAACAGCTGGCTGGTTTCGTTCCTACAAATTATTCGAAAGAACAGACACTACTCAATTTTGTTCTGATTATCTTTTTTTTTTTTTTCACTGCAGAACTCAGATTGTAAGTGTACCTCCCAAAAAGGCAGTGGTTTGTAAATGTGTAGCTACTTCCCCGGCAGAACAGACTGGTAATTACAAATTTTGTTAGTATTTTGTCGTTTTCAATTGTCAACACAATTTGAAGATACTTTTATCTATTCGGTGCTTCTGCATAATTGGAAAAATTCCTTACTGAGTAAGTGATTTGAGGTGTATCAATTTTATATTGAACTTTTACCCATGTTTTGGAGGGAATTTATACATTTATACTTCTGATAACATTTCCATACTACCATCTGAAATCCAAATTTTTAATTCTCTTTGTTGCTCTTCTGCAGCTTACAAAACGAAAGTCTCCCGAAATGGGAACATTGCTAAACTTCAAGCTGGTTACCTCTTTCCAGAGGTCTGTAACATCACTGTCACATGTTACTTAGAGTTTCAAATGTGGATGTTAAACTTTGTTTTCTTAATTGGTTGTTACATTGCATTTGGAGATGAGATTCAAAGATTTTTCATGTTCTCAATTACAGATTGGTAGAAGGAAAGCTGCTCACATGTTGAAATACCCTGATGCACAAGTGATAAGCCTTGGTATTGGTGATACTACTGAGCCCATTCCAGATGTTATTACTTCAGCCATGGCTAAGGTATGATCATGTGGGTTCTAATTTCTATTCTTGGTGGTTTGAGAATAAGTTCATTTGAAACTTAATACCTTTTCTTAAAATCAAACTCCCCTCCTTTCTCAATGATATATCTTTTGTCCCATGTATAGTCCCTCTTCTATAAGACATGACTAGAAAAGGGTAGTTTCGTAATTAAGTATATACACCCATAAACACAAATATTTTAATTTTCTGGTTGGCAGAGAGCTCTTGGATTATCAACTGTTGAGGGTTACAGTGGATATGGAGCAGAACAAGGTGAAAAGGTACGAATAATTAATAGTAGTTTTTACTATAGTTATGATTCTAAAGCAATAAAGTATATGTAGCAAGAATTGGTGTAAAAATTCCAGTCATACACAGTGAAAATTGATTATATAACAACAGTTAAATTAACATTTATGCCATTTATATGATCAGGAACTAAGAGCTCGACTTGCTTCAGCTTTTTATGCTAACCTTGGCATAGAGGAAGATGACATATTTGTATCTGATGGGGCTAAATCAGACATTTCTCGCCTTCAGGTTTGTGCTTGGTTTACAACATAGCTTCTATTTTTTTAAACATTTTGTCCTTTCTTCTTTATTAGTTCAATAACACAAAAGATAATATCATATCATTATTTACAGTTGACCCTCTACTTTTATTTTCATGTCAGGTCTTATTTGGGTCAAATGTGACAATGGCAGTTCAAGATCCATCATACCCGGTAACCAATTCAATCTTATGCAATCATCAAGAACCAAACTAACAAAATGGTCCCTGTGCTTTCTAATTTCTATCATGTTTAGTCCAAAGTTCCAATCTTTTTTTCAGTTTTGGCCCTTAATTCAAGGTTTCTTATCGATTTTGGTCCTTATTTCAAGTCTTCATATCAAGGTTCCAAAGACCAATATCAATATAAAACCTTGAAATAAAGACCAAAACGGAAAAAAGATTGGAACTTTGGACTAAACACGGTAAAAACAAAAAATAAAAGACAATCTTTTGTAATTTACTCTCAAGATGAAGAGTTAATTTGTGATATTCATTTCCTTTTGCAGGCTTATGTAGATTCAAGTGTGATTATGGGTCAAACAGGAGAATTCCAGAAAGATGTTGAGAAATTTGCAAATATTGAGTACATGAAATGCACACCAGAAAACGATTTCTTTCCTGATTTATCCAAAGTTTCACGAACAGACATTATATTTTTCTGTTCACCCAACAACCCAACTGGCTCAGCTGCATCAAGAGAACAACTTATTCAGTTAGTAAAGTTTGCTAAAGACAATGGATCCATCATTGTTTATGACTCAGCATATGCCATGTATGTATCAGGCGACACCCCTAAATCCATCTTTGAAATCCCTGGAGCCAAAGAGGTAATCAAAATCAAAACTTTTAGATTAATTTACATTTTTCGTCCCTAAGTATAACTGATTCTTTCAATTTTGGTCCCCAAAATGTAATCTTGATCATTGTTTGAGATTTTGACTATATTTTTGGGATCAAAGTCGCAAAATTCAGCCATACCCAGGGATGAAAATGGTAATTTTGACCAAAAACATTTCAAGAACCTGAAATAAGGACCAAAATTGCAATAGAAAACATGTTGGGACCAAAATTGAAAAAGTCAGCTATCTTTAGGGACCAAAAGTGTAATTTAGTCAAACTTTTAACATGTTCATATTGCAGGTTGCAATTGAAACAGCTTCTTTTTCAAAATATGCTGGATTTACAGGAGTTCGTTTAGGGTGGACTGTAGTCCCAAAAGAGCTGAAATATTCAGATGGATTTCCTGTTGCAAAAGACTTCAACCGAATTGTTTGCACTGGGTTCAATGGAGCTTCAAACATTGCTCAATCGGGTGGACTTGCATGTCTTTCTCCTCAAGGTCTTGAGGTTAGTTTATTTCATGAAAATATTAATTAGCATAATAAAAGACAAATCAATATATGGAAAATGGAAAATGAATTGAGTTTTATAAATTCTTGTAGGCTATGCGTGAAGTGGTGGGATTCTACAAAGAAAACACACAAATTATAGTGGATACATTTACTTCACTAGGGTTTAAGGTATATGGAGGAAAAGATGCCCCGTATGTGTGGGTCCACTTCCCGGGTCAAAGCTCATGGGATGTTTTTAGTGAGATTCTTGAGAAGACTCATGTGGTGACGACACCTGGCAGTGGGTTTGGGCCTGCTGGTGAAGGGTTTGTTAGGGTTAGTGCTTTTGGACACAGGAACAACGTGTTGGAAGCTTGTAGGAGGTTCAAAGAGCTTTACAAGTAAAACAAAAATAAAACCAGGTTTTGTACTTCTTAACCTTTCGATAATTTGCTTTCATGAATCATGATTTCTCATTTTCTATTGTATTAGATTAACTTTTGAATTTTGATATGGAAAGATTGTTGTGGTTTTATGGATATTTGGATTGTACATTTTCATAACAGAAACTAAACCTTAATAAGAAAAGAAAAATGAAAGTACAATTTTGTTCTCGGAAGAAACCAAAGTAGGATTCTGT